CGTGTCCCCTGCATCGGCAGGCGGACTCTCAACCGCTGCGCCACCAGGGAAGCCCTAATTTTATTTTTATACCAGCGGGTGGAGACAGATGGATTGTGGATTCCATTTCAGGGAAATGGGGGCACCCAAATTCTTTTGTAATAAGGAGGTGGCATGGTGTCTAGAAGGCTGGGGTCCCTTGGAAGGCAGGGACGGGATCTCTCTTGGTCACTGCTATGTCCCCAGTGCCTGGGACACAACTGGTGCTCCCTAAGTGCTCACTGAGCCACTGAATGAGTGTTCCAGTTGAGCCCTTGAAGCTTTATTGGGCTTTCCTGGCTGTGTCGATAGTGGGGTGATCTGGCATTTGGTGGGCAGGGGCCAGGGACACTGGCCGTCTGGCCGCTGAGCCCCTCCGCTGTCCCTGGGAAGGGCCTGCCCCAGAAAGCCTGCCCTGGTGCAGCCAGGCCCCTCCTGGCTTGTCTGCCCTTGGACTTGGATGAGCGCAGCTGGCAGGAAGGAAGGCTGGGGTTTATTTTGGTCCCCAGCATGCTCCCCCGGGAGAGCAGTCATCTCCCTGTCTGGCTGCTTGGATGGAGGCGTTTCTGGTAGAACAATGGGTCAGCGGCGGGGGGGTGGGAGTGGGGACCGCTGACCCATTGCAGCTGGGCTGGTCCAGGTGTCACAGGTCTGGGGACTGCCCCAAGGGGAGTAGGGGCAAGGAGTGTGGAGGCCAAGAGGGAAGGCTGCAGCTGCCCCCACCCCCCGCCCCTTTTCCTCTGTGCTTGGCAGGGTGGGTGTGGGGCAGTACTGCTGCTGAGGGCCCAGGCTCTTCCTGAAGCTGGTAAACAGGACAGGCTTCCCCTGTGAACCAACACGCCCGACCTCAGGACTTGCAGAGGGGAAGGTCAAGGCCCAGAGAGAGACAGAACCCTGCCTGGGGTCACACAGCAACCAAATAGGCAGAAAGACCTGGGCACCAGAGTCCTTGAGATCCAGGGAAAGGCCTTCTCCTCTCTGAGTCTCAATTTGTCCATCTGTAAACTGGGGAGCTGGACCCAGGGAGTTGGGAGTTCCCCCCCGCCCCCGGGTTCCAATGTTTGCAGACATCCTTTCCCTCATACATTCAACAAACACTTACTGGGTGTCTGCTGGGTACCAGGCCCTGGGTTAGGGTTAGGAGACATGGCGTGAACAAGAAAGATGCAGGGGAATTCCCTGGCAGTCCAGTGGTCAGCACTCTGTGCTTCCACTGCAGGGGCCAGAGGTTTGATCCCTGGTTGGGGAACTAAGATCCTGCATGACCTGTGACACGGCCAAAAAAAAAAAGATGCAGCCCCTACCCAAGCTGTCAGGCCGGGGAGATGGACACCGAAACCAAGGTACTCGGGGCCGTGATGGAGGATGCCCCGGGCACCATGGGAGCCAAGGGGGCACCTGGCCCAGCCTGGGGCATCCAGAAGTCTTCCAAGAGGAGGTGACAGTAACTCTGAGACTTGAATGAGTTTACGGGATAAGTGATGGGTGAGAGAGGGGTCTAGGTAGAGGGAATGGAATAGAACGTTCTAGAGAAACAGAGGTGAGAGGGCATCCTGGAAGCATAGTTATTCCTTGCTGCTGCTCTTTTTTTTCCCAGAGAACATCACAGAGAAATAGGTCTCTACATTCAGGGAGCTGAATGGCATAGAGCTTGAAGGTCAGAAGTCCAGGCAGTGGCGTCCAGCCTCTTGCCCGGGGAAAGCTCACAACCCGCGCGACACTCAGGTTGTTCACAAGCTTCTGCCCTAGGATGGAGGTAGTTCTCCCTCCTTACAGCCACCATCCTCCATTTTACTGATGGGGAAACTGAGGCACGGGGCAGTTATGTTGCTTGACCAAGAGTTTAGAGCCAGGAGCAGGCCCTAAATTTTGGGGCTGGTTTTGTCATGGGGGACAGCCCCACAAGACTCAGGGCAACTCGCAGGAGTCAGCTGGGGAAAGCAGAGAGCGTAGGGGTGCAGAGGTGGTGGGGGCAGGCAGTCCCTGTGTTGCTGTGTGGCCTTGGGGAAATGGCTCAGCCTCTCTGAGCCTGTGTAATTTCTTCTGCAACCCGGCAACCAGCCGAATACAACACCACGCTGAAGTGATGAAATAGGCACACGCCGCTGCTCAGGGCCTGCCATGCGGTGCTGAGTCACCCGCACCCCTGCTCTGCCCCAGCCTTTGTACAGGGTCTGGGGCTGCTGTGGGAGCAGGGAAGACTGGGTCATTCATCTCCAGGCCCGTCCCGACCTCTGTGGGCAGGGAGAGGGCGGCCGAGGCTTGGGACTTCTCCCGGGGTCTGAGCTCACACACAGATGGGCTTTGTCGGGGTTCCTGTGGCTGAGTGGGCACCCATGTGGCATTCCTGGTCTGGCTGGCCTGAGGCTGGGGTCGGGGTGGATTCCCACCAGAGCCTGGGGCAGCAGCGGGTCAGGGCTGGGGGTGGGTCTCAGGCTCCCTCATTCATTTGGAAGATGTTTCCGGAGCCTCCAAAAACACAGCAGTTAAGGAATCAGGTCCATTACCTCCCCCGTGGCCTGCGGTGAGGCAGACCACGGAAGAAGCAAAGCCAGCGGGGCAGAGCAGTGATGAGGGATGCCTGGGGTGCTCTGTGGCTCAGAGGAGGTGCCTCACTGTCAGTTTGGCTGTTCGAGGGTGGCTTCCTAGAGGAGGTGGTGTCCAGGCTGAGCTGAGGGATGAACCTGCGAGGGTGAGAGGCAGGGGCTTAGGGGCCAGGGCTTTTGGGGGATGTATATGTGTCCACCAGAGAAGAGGCAGGGGTTTGGGGGCCAAGGTGTTGGGGGATGTATAGGAGCTCACCAGGGAAGATGCAGGGGCTGGAATGAGGTGTGGGCTTTGGTCCTGAGAGCCATGAGGAGCTGCCAGCTGGTTCTTACAAGGAAAGGGCTAAGCCCAGATGTGCAGTGTAGGAAGAATTCTGGCGCTGCAGGAAGGAGGTGGTTGGAAGGGGAGCCTCCAGAGCCTGGGGGATCTGGAAGACTGCCATGCAGGAAGGACAAAAGGAGTCAGACATAAGGGACAGATAGAGGTCCAGGCTTCTGCGGTTGGAGGCCTGGTCACTGTTCCCAGAGAGCCAGCCTGCCATTCACCTTGGCCACCTCCCTGGCCCTTTCCTGGGTGGAAGCTGATGCAAGTCAATATTTCTGTATCAGAGGAATCAGCAGAGTGATGCGTTTCCAGAAACCCCACAAATGGCCCTGGGGAACCCCCACCCAGGTCACTGCCCCCCTGACTCATTCAGGGCCTGACTAAGGTCTCAGGATGTCCGTTGTAAACTCAAGGGGGTGAGGAGGCCAGGAGGATTGGTACCTAGGCTTCTCCACCCTGAACAGCCCAGGGGCTGGGCTGGGACCCTGTTTCATGGAGCTGCAGGATGAGGGGAATGATAAGCTGGACCCCTCCTGTGATAACTCACCTTGAGCCCCTTCTCAACTCAGAGCAAGGATACAGTGGGTTTGCAGGGCTGGTACCAGGGACCACAAGTAGTGGGATTCAGAAGGCCCTGCCCATTAATTTCCAAAATATACAAACAGCTCATACAACTCAATAACCAAAAAACAACCCAATCAAAAAATGGGCAGAAGACTAAATAGACATTTCTCCAAAGAAAACACAGAGATGGCCAACAGGTAACATGAAAAGATGCTCGTCATTGCTAATTATTAGAGAAACGCAAATCAAAACTACAATGAGGTATCACCTCACACTGGTCAGAATGGCCATCATTAAAAAGTCTACAAGTAACAAATGCTGGAGAGGGTGTGGAGAAAAGAGAACCCTCCTACACTATTAGTGGGAATGTAAATTGTTGCAGCCACTATGGAGAACAGTATAGAGCTTCCTCAAAAACTAAAAACAGTGTTGCCATATGATCTAGCAATCCCACTCCTGGGCATGTATCCAGACAAAACTCTAATTCGAAAAGATACATGCACCCCAATGTTCACAGCAGCACTATTCACAATAGCCAAGATATAGAAACAACCTAAATGTCCATCGACAGATGAATGGATAAATAAGATGTGGTATACATACACAGTGGAATATTACTCAGCCATGAAAAAGAATGAAATAATGCCATTTGCAGCAACATGGATGGACCTAGAGATTCTCATACTAAGGGGAGTAAGTCAAAAAGAAAGACAAATACCATATGATAAAACCTATATGTGGAATCTAAAATAGGACACAAATGAAGTTATCTACCAAACAGAAACAGACTCACAGACATAGAGAACAGACTTGTGTTTGCCAAGGGGGAGGGTGGGTAGGGGAAGGAAGGATTGGGAGTTTGGGATTAGCAGATGCAAATGAGTATATACAGAATGGACAAACAACAAGGAGGTCCTATGGTATAGCACAGGGAACTAGATTCAGTATCCTGTAATAAACCATAACAGAAGGCCCTGCCCAGATTTCAACATTACACATTAATTCCTTTGACTTTTTTTAGAAACAAATTCCCTTAGGGTCCCTTGGGTCATCATCTCTTCAGTGTGAATGCTATTTTTTAAACGAGCTTTTCCTAAAAATAGCTTTTGCTATTTTTTTTTCACAAGTTTCTGCCATTCTGTGCTCCTGCTACTTGGAATTTCCCTCCTCTAGGCCTTGGAGCATGGGGATCTTCCCGCCTGGGATGCCCTCCCCATTTTCTCACCTGTCTCTTCCTCCAGGAGGTCAGCCTTGGCCCTCTTGATCTGCTGGGGATCCTGTGCTATGTGGGCTCTTGCAGCTTCCCGGATGGTAGCACTTACTGTGTTCCCGGGGGCTCGCTGGTCGGCTCTGTACACCCAGTCCTGGCACACACAGTAGGTCTGTGGAATGGGCACGCAGGCTCCCCTGGAGATAGGCTGGTGGCGTGTGCCCATTTCCCGGATTGGGAAGACGGTGGTCGCCAACGTTAGCGGCCCGCCCAGGCAAGCCCCTGGCAGCCGGGCTGTGCGGGCTGACGGCGGGTCTGTGTCCCCACCCCCGCGCAGGGCGGATGGACACCTTCAGCACCAAGAGCCTGGCCCTCCAGGCCCAGAAGAAGCTCCTGAGCAAGATGGCATCCAGGGCGGTAGCGGCCGCGTTCATCGACGACACCAGCAGCGAGGTGCTGGACGAGCTGTACCGCGCCACCAAGGAGTTCACCCGCAGCCGCAAGGAGGCCCAGAAGGTGGTCAAGAACCTGGTCAAGGTGGCCGTGAAGCTGGGTGTCCTGCTGCGCAGCGGGCAGCTGGGCGGCGAGGAGCTGGCGCGGCTGCAGCGCTTCCGGCAGCAGGCCCGCCGCCTGGCCATGACCGCCGTCAGCTTCCACCAGGTGGACTTCACCTTCGACCGGCGCGTCCTGGCCGCCGCCCTGCTTGAGTGCCGGGACCTGCTGCACCAGGCGGCGGGCGCGCACCTGACCGCCAAGTCCCACGGCCGCATCAACCACGTGTTCGGCCACTTGGCTGACTGCGACTTCCTCGCCGCGCTCTACGGCCCGGCTGAGCCCTACCGCTCCCACCTGCGCAGGATCTGCGAGGGTCTCACCCGGCTGCTGGACGAGGAGAGCATATGACCTCCGACCTGACCTCCGACCTCCTCGTTCCGGCTTGCCGCTGGGGGCGGGGCTTGCGGGGGGTTTTTAACCTCTTTTCTCCCAGTCTGACTCTGGCCAAAACCACCCCGCCCAACACACACACACACACACACACACACACACACACACACACACACACA